CAGCCGCAGCAGGCGGCGGGCGGCGCGGCGGGCTCCGGGGAGGCGGGAGGCGGCGGGAGGGGCGATAGCGGCGGAGGAGGCGGCGGCGGCGGCGCTGGGCCCGGCCCGGGCTCCAGCTCGGGCGGCGGCGGCGGCGCGGCGGGCGGCGAGTCGTGGTACCTGGCGCTGCTGGGCCTGGCCGAGCACTTCCGCACGTCGAGCCCGCCCAAGGTGCGGCTGTGCGTGCACTGCCTGCAGGCCGTGCTGCCCCGCAAGCCGCCCGCGCGCATGGAGGCCCGCACGCACCTCCAGCTCGGCTCCGTGCTCTACCACCACACCCGCAACGGCGACCAGGCCCGCGGGCACCTCGAGAAGGCGGTGAGCGGCCCGCGGCGGGGCCCTGCGCGCGGGGGGATGGCGCGCGGGGCGCCCGCGCTAACGCGTCCTCTTCTCTTGCAGTGGTTGATATCGCAGCAAGTATCCTTTGCCCGGCCGCTGGAAGAGGGATTTCCCCCGGGAAGAGGAGAGCGGCGCTGCCCGGACGTCTGCTGCGAGAACAGCGCTGCAAACGAGAGCCCGGCCCGGGAATAGGAAGCCCTCAGGCGCTTCCCTGGCTGCGGGTTGCTTTCGGAGGGCTTGCTCCTCTTGAAGGAGCGTGGGGATGTCGGGACGTGGCTGCGGTGCTTCGTGTTTCCTTAACCCCGCCGCCAGATCCCCCAGTTCGAAGATGTTAAGTTTGAGGCTGCGAGTCTCCTGTCCGAGCTCTATTGCCAGGAGGTGAGTGCGGCCCAAAGACCCCCCGCCCGGCTCCCCTTTGGGTCCCCCTCGAACCTTTGGGTTCAAGGGCTGCTTGTGTCCTCCGCGTCTTTGAGCGCAGAGCMACATGTAACAGCAGGATATACCCAATTTTTAGAGTTTGCGTGCAATGTAACCATGGGAAGCTACAATGTAAGTCTGAAAGGATTTTAATTCTTCCCTTCCTGCAGCTGCCGCTCGCCGCCCTCCCGATGTTTGTCCTCCTTGGCCAGAGTGTTCCTTTAGCCCTCGTTAGGCTAATTAGCCCTTGATGGGCTAATTGAGGGAAGATGGGGAAATGGATTTTTATTTGCTAGGACTCTGTTATGTTCCTTGGTTATTTCTGCACCTTTTCTCTAGAAAAGCTTTGGTCGGTCTTTCTATAAAACAAATGTTTGCCTTTTCTAATACGCCTTTTTTTAATCCTGTGCGTGAGTGGTGAACAAAGGAACTGACCAGTCAAAACTTTTAAGCAAACTCGGAGTCAAATGCAGGGGTTCTGCGTGCCGGATAAGGCCTTTTGCTTATCCACCTTTAAATGGGCATCCGCACGGAAAACACCTTGCTTAAACGTTACCGTGCTTGGTGGTGGAGGTTCCTGGTAGCCCGTTTTTYTTTGTGCTGAGCGGGATGTGTGTCCTGTTGCAGAATTCAGTGGATACAGCGAAGCCTCTGCTACGCAAAGCCATCCAGATCTCGCAGCAGACCCCGTACTGGCACTGTCGGCTACTTTTTCAACTTGCAGTAAGTCRCTTCTTATATACGTACAGTCATTGTATTGATTTTACTGTATTTGTTGTATTCATTTTATTGACTCTGTAAGTATGGTCATTTTATTGTAACACTGGCTGGGAGAACGTGTACTTCCTAAAAAGTCATTGCTTTTGTGTTTTTTTTTAAAGGAAAAAGAGCCTGACTAGCTTTTGTAATCACTGATATCAATGGAGAAACAATGGAAGAAGAATTCATGCTGTGAATAGTGATGCGTTGCTAGACTGTTCTGAAAGGGCTGCTTTTCCTGAGGGATCTGGATTGTTAGGATGGGGACCTATCCAGAAACCTGACTGATCAGTACGAGGAGCAGGTTACTGCTGACAAACTGTTCCCTGGTTTTTTTTTTAGGTTATCCCATTTTTCAGCTGCATTTGTAGGAGACAGGGAAGATTCCTAAGGGATCTTAAGCTATATAATGCAATAGTTGTGGCAGTTAATTGCTCTGTGCAGGTGCTTTTAATAAGGGAGATAGTTAGCAACCAGGTTTATCTTTGAAGATTGTCTTAATGGTCACCTGCACTTTTCTCCCTTTCCCTTTTTGATGAGCTTAAACAGGCAAGGTTCCCTGAAAAAGAATTGCCAAGATCCTTTGTATAACTTAGGAGTGCTGAAATGGGGACTATGCAGAAATCCTCCCAATTAAAGGACCAGTGTTTACTCTGCAGTGGGTTAATGCCTGAATACTCCCAAGAAGCTTAAACWTTTTTTTTCCTCAGTGCCTCTAAATAGATCCCTCCTCAGAGCCTGACGTTCTGTGCTGATTTCTTTTGGTATTTCCTTTTGGCTTGTGCTTGAGCAGAAGGGACTGTATGTCTCACAGCTTCCCGTTGTTGGGCTTCCTACCTGAGTTTGGGAAAAATAGGAAATGTTGGGAAGCTGGGGGGTCTGAGAGGTGCTCTGGAGGTTGCTGCCTCCTTTTCCTGTGACCTGCAGGCTTTCTCTGGGCTTCCTGCTGGAGATTCTGGCCCATAAACATCCACAGTTTTGAGCTGTTTAGGGGCTCATCTGCACATGCTCTGGATCAATTATACTCAGCAATGTGAGTCTGGGCTGAGAGATTTTCTTTGAAAAYAGAAAAACCAACTGCAAAATGGATCTTAAATTCACATGAGAGATTTCTACATGATCCAGTTGGACACTTGTATCTCATACAAAGCACAAGAGTAATTAAATTTTAAAAAACTTGCTGAACAAGTTCACTACGAAAATGCTAATGCCTTATGGCTCTTGCTTTTTCTTTCAGCAACTACATACACTTGAAAAAGACTTAGTATCTGCATGTGACCTTCTAGGAGTTGGAGCAGAGTATGCTCGGGTGGTGGGGTCAGAATATACCAGGTAAGTTGCCTACACTTGTTTTTCCCCCCATAGTCTGGCTTTGACTTTAGAAACTTTTAACTGGGATTGTCCAAATCTTCAGTACAAACCCAAGACTAAGATTATAATTCCTGGCCCTATGACTTCACTGTGCTATCTGGCTTTTAAGTTTGCTTTCTGCAGCAGGTTCCTTRATCTGGTTTGATTAATGCCCTTGAAATGGAGAATGGCCCAAGTTCTTCCTCAGGGATTTATRTGCAGTCATGGTTTAGGTAACTTTGTGTGTGTGACACAGTTCTGTTTTATTTCAGAGCACTATTTCTGCTAAGCAAAGGGATGGTAAGTTGGATATACTTCTCTAACAAAGTATTTTCTTGCTTACTTGGTATAAAACAGGTTATAGGGCCATAGAATATAACCAGCCCAGTAGTAGGTTATTTGTTTAAGGTGCTTTGCATGCCTGTCTGTGCTYTATATACTCTGCTTTGTTCATGGAAGCAAGTACAGTATTAAAAAACACACAAAATTAGCTGTAATACAGCAGGATTCCTTTGCTATGAGAAATTCCTTTGAACAGAGGTTTATTTCCTTTATTAATTATGGCAAATCGGTGCTCCYTTGAAGGAAAGGGGATAACTGCAAGTTGTCATTGGAGCTGTTTTACCTAATGACGAAAAATAAGTCATGCAAGAAACCTGATGCTCTTTCTAATGGCTGCCTTTAAGTCCATTTCTATTTAAATAATAGAATAACTCGCCTGGGGCTCTSTGTGCTTCCCTGAATGTTAACATTGCTTCTTTGGCACAAAATATAATGAAATTTTTATTTTAAATTACAGCTTCTTCTAATGGAGCGGAAGCTGCAGGAAGTGCACCCTCTGCTTACCCTCTGTGGGCAGATAGTTGAAAACTGGCAAGGAAACCCCATCCAGAAAGAGTCTCTGCGYGTGTTCTTTTTGGTTCTGCAGGTAACACATTACCTGGATGCTGGGCAGGTACGTGTGAGTTGTGCCTCTTGGTTCCCATGTTGTGGGAGCTGGTCAAAGATTACTGCCTTGGGAATAGCTAATTATTACAGCAACGTAATTTTGGGGGGTTTTCTGTTGCTAACCCTTGCTTTTTGGTAGTGGACTTAATTTCTCTGTGATTTTAATCACAAAATGGGGAGTGAGAAATGAAAGCATGCTACACTAGGGCGTTCATTTCTTCTTCCCCAAGCAAATGCTTAGTTTGATGCATATATAATTACAGCATTACTTTCCCTTCAGGAGCACGTTATTCCTGAGGAGACAAGGGCTCTCTGTAGGATTTTGAAACCAYCTTGAGTATTTGTTGGTCTTATTTGCAAATACCAAGAGCTGATTATTGTTCATCCTGTAACAAACTTAGTGGTAGCTGTTTTGTGATGCCAGTACAGTGATTTATGCATTAACCAAGGTACTGAATAYGGGAATTGTATGTTGTCTGGCACGTTTTCGGAGCTAAATGAACCTTCAGCCTTTTGCCACGTGGACTGCAGCAGCTACGCCTGTGAATCGTTTTTGCAGGTGAAGAGTGTGAAGCCGTGTCTCAAGCAGCTTCAGCAGTGCATTCAGACCATCTCCACGCTGCACGACGACGAAATTCTGCCCAGCAACCCCGCCGACCTCTTCCACTGGCTGCCCAAGGAGCACATGTGTGTACTCGTCTACCTGGTGAGCGCTTCTCTTTTACTTAGTGGGTCCTGCTGATTAGTGAGGAATTGGTTAAAAGTGGCTTATAACCAGCAGGGATGCATTTTCTGCAGGCCATGTGCTGCTTTTTATGATCTGCTTAGATAATTTAATGTTACTGAGGCGTCTGTGGGACTGTTGCTTTCAGTGGAGTCGGTGTTTGAAGTAGAAGTAATAGTAGTTCTTACGAAGTAGAGCCACGTTGCCTTGCTTTAGCCAACAGCAGAACAGTTCTGTCTTTCTGCAAGGAGTTGCACTGTGTCTTGAATATGGTTATACTCTTTGTTGATTTTAAAATTCAGCTTTTTTTAAAAGCTGCTAAGTGAGGGGTTGTGTGGACCCCTAAACCTTGCCAAGGTATTTTTGGTGATCTTTCCTTGTCCTCCGGCAGGTGACAGTGATGCATTCCATGCAAGCAGGGTACCTGGAGAAGGCACAGAAGTACACGGACAAAGCACTCATGCAGCTAGAGAAGCTAAAAAGTAAGGATAAAGGTTACAGTTTGGCTGATGCTGTAAGATTCCATTACTTGGTGCTGATTTAAAGCAAAAAGCAAACAAATACCTTGTTTGTAGCCTATTTGTACTGTAGCTGAGAGTTGTGCTCTGCTTTAAAACCGAATTATTGTTTTAATTCGAATCCAGAAATGGAGTTTTGGGGRTCTTATTTTTGTAACTTGGTAAGTTAGGCAGCAGATGCATGAATTTCCTTGCTGAATGTCACATTTTTCCATGTCTTTGGTTATCCACGTCTTTACTTCTCTAAAACAAGTGCATTTCCAAAGAGTTCTTCTTTCACCGGTGCTCRGATTCACATTCTTGGTTTGGAAGCAGTTCTTTGACAGCCTGGCCTGCCCTTCCCATGGCAGCGGAGAAGGAGCTGGGCTGTTTGCTGGCTCTTTAGACACCAGGTGATTCAGCCAAAGGCATCCCTGGATTTCTGCGCAGGAATTCTTGTGCTGAACCACCTGCAGTTAAAGAAGAAACCTGGGAACAGGGAAAGCYGTCACATTAGGAGGTTAACGTTGTCGTAACTTCTTAGCTTACCTTTGTTTCCCCTCCTCAGTGTTGGACTGCAGTCCTATCTTGTCRTCTTTCCAAGTCATTTTGTTGGAACATATTATCATGTGCCGRCTTGTCACGGGCCACAAAGCTACAGCATTGCAAGAGGTAAATAGTGTTTTGAATATCTCCGGTCATAAATGTGTGGGGAAAACTTGTAAAATATGAAAATTTCACGTATGAGGAATCAATTCTTATATCTCCCCACTCCCAAAGCCTTCCAGCTCTGTGCAGCGTTATTTCATTTCAGGGAAGGAAGAAGGGGAATGGTATTTTCTAATGTTCTATCTGCCCGGTCCTCTTGTAATTCCTCATTGTCTGCCCTTTATCACGTGTAATTCCAAATTGTCCTGTTGTTTTAAGGCTTCTCATCAGTGCTCTCCATGGAAACATTAGCCTGCCATTGATTATAGCACTTCTTATGAACAAATACCACAAATTCTTCCGAAGGCTTCGATTCTAGTGTTCCTCTTTCATGCTAAGTTTGGCTTTCGAGTGGTTTTGAAGAGATCTGTGACTTCTTTTTGCAGGTGGTGCCACCGTACGGTGGAGCWGCTGCAATGCAGCTGGTTGAGCCTGTGTGTCCGTTTGGGGAGCAGTGTTTGTACCTCGGCTTGAGCCAGGAGTAGCCTCTGGCCTTAACTAAGACATGTGATGAATTTTTGCACCAATCCCTGAAATGTATTGCATGACTGGTATGATGCAGGTAGAAGGATATAGAGCATTGAAGAAAAGGAAGGAATAAATATTTTTAAAGAAATACTGTCTTTTTTCAACAGATTTCTCAAGTCTGTCAGCTCTGCCAGCAGTCTCCCAGACTCTTTTCTAACCATGCTGCCCAACTGCACACTCTATTAGTAAGTGAATCTGATCAGTAGTAAACTTGCCTCTTTGGAGAGCTGTGCCTGAGATTCATACTGAGCGATCAGCAGTAACTAATGATGATTAGCTGCATTAAAGATGCAGAAACTTGAGCAGATTTCCTGCTGAGCACTGGATTCGAGTTCCTTGATTGCTTATCCAGTGGGAACCAGCACCTAGCATTAACTGTTAAATACTTAAATCTCCTTTAAAAAAAGAAAACAAAAACCTCATGGGTTAACTTTTTTTCCACCCCACTAATRTTGTAAGTAAAATATCTATGTTCATGTAGATGCCTTTCTTCCTTACACTTGAGGCTTCCTATCGTTGTATTAGAGTATTAAACTCCAGAATTAACTTGTTTTCTGCAGGGGCTCTACTGCATTTCTGTTAATTGCATGGACAACGCGGAAGCACAGTTTACTACAGCACTGAGGGTAGGATTTGATTCCTAAACTTTTCTCTGGCTCTTCAGTGTGGAGCTGCCTTGCTACGTGAGCTGCCCCCAAGTCATTTTTTGAGTCACGGAATCACAGGAGGGCTGGAGTGGGAAGGGCAGTTTGCTTGGGACGGTGTCCAGTAGGATTTGGAATATTTCCGAGGATGGAGACTCCATAACCTGCCTGGGCAAGCTGTTCCAGTGTTGTATCATCCTTACGTAGGCTGGTTGTTAGGAAAGAGTGAGCCTAAGTTTTTTAAAGGGAAAAAAAACAGGCTTTTTAATGGAATTTCCTGTATTTGAATTTATGCCTGTTGCCTCTGTCCTTCACTGGGCACCACTGATTAGTCTGACTCATCTCCTTTACACCCTGCCACCAGGTATTTATGCACACTGATAAGTCAGGAATGTTGCCTGGTGAAGTGACCTGAATAGATGCAAAGAGCTTAGGGGGGAAGTGGAAATGCAGATTCAAGAGGAGGACTCTTACAAACACTCAAACTACCCTAATGTTGCCACTCTCTGCACGGGTTTGTRTAGTCCTCAAAGAAAAGGAATTGCAGCAAAGGGCTCTATCATTTCAGTTCTCTCTCTGCTAAAGGTGGTTCRAGTCAGGGACCTACTAAAAGCTTACATCAGACACCAACTCTGTGATACTATGTTTTAATTTGTTATATTTTTAAGGAAAGAATAGGGTGAACCAAGTGAGGGTTAGATGCAAAAATACTTACACTGTGCTATTGTGTATTGCTTGTTCTAGCTCACTACACACCAAGAGCTGTGGGCATTTATTGTGACAAACTTGGCCAGTGTGTACATCAGGGAGGGCAACCGGCACCAAGAGGTAAGCTGCTTGCTGCCTTCTGTCTTTGGAAAGCCAAAACCTGTGTGCAAAGAAGCACATTGCTCTGCTTGGGTTATTCTTTTTGTGAATTTTTGCCATAATGGTGKCCATTCGGCAGAAATATTAAGTGGGTAATAATTTTTTTCAAGTCTAAGAAAGCGTGTTTTGTGTAAGCCTTGATCTTGTATTTATTTTTTAGGAAATAATAACTCTTAATGTTGGAATGTTTGCACTGTGATCTAAGCAGTGCAAGTAAACTTGGTGCTTGTAGTGAGCTGCACCGTTTTGATTCTACGTGTTTCCTGTAAAAACGCTTGTTGTCAGTATTAAGTTATATATGTGAGAAAGGCYGACTTGTGTTGTTTTCTCCCCCCTTCGTAGCTTTACAGCTTATTGGAAAGGATAAATCCAGACCATAATTTCCCCGTGAGGTGAGAGTTCCAGAAACTTCCTCCGTGCCGATGTCGCGTTGGTGACGGTAACGCTGCATTTGTCGCATGCTTTTTTTTAAAACAACGGAAAACAAAACTTCTTTGCAAGCCAGAAGTTCTGACCATGCATTAAATAAAATGTTTTGTTTGGGGATTTGATTGTTAGGCAAATTCCTAGAAATCTGTCCGTCTCTAGCCCATTATATCACTGTACAATGCAGAGATTTGAACGCATTGCTTTGTCTGTCCATAGCTCCCACTGTCTTCGAGCAGCAGCTTTCTACATCCGAGGTCTGTTCTCCTTCTTCCAAGGAAGATACAATGAGGCAAAGTGAGTATAAATCAGTGCACGTGGAAGGCAGGAGAAAAAAGGAGAAAATAAATAAAGCTTTAAAAAAATCAAAAAGGAAACCCCAAGGCCTTGTTCTCAGGCCTCTCAGATCTTCTCGGTATTGATTTAGGCAGTCTGCAATTTTATCTAGGGCAAATACCATGCACCTGTCTGTCTAMAATCTCTTTACAATTTTGAACATTGATAATAATAGTTGTGCAGTGTTCTGCAGTCACGCATCTGAAACAAAAGGAGGATCCCTCCCTCAGAGCGGGGATCTGTATCCCAGCCACTTTGGTTATGAGAAAGCTGGGATATGGGAATAAAGTGTTTTATATAAGGTCACCTACAGGACACATTTATCCCTGAGCCCTACTATTTGCTGACTGGACTGTTTCTGTTCTTTATAATGTTTCTCACATATTGGAAGGAGAGTAGATTTTCCTTTTAAAGGACGTTTTATTTTTGTTCTGTTTTGGTAGACGATTTTTGCGAGAGACACTGAAAATGTCAAATGCAGAAGACTTGAATCGATTAACAGCGTGTTCTCTTGTACTCCTGGGTCATATATTCTATGTATTAGGGAATCACAGGGTAAGCCTTTACTGTCTCTGGTATTACTACTATAAATGTTTGATTTGTCATTTGCCAAGGAAAAAGGGGAGGTTTTGTTAATTTTATTAAGAATGTTTATTGCTATCCAGCTGAAAGCTGGTAACTSTTTGGTTTCCATAATTCTCGTGTAACAGTTTCCACATTTAGTAAAACTAACAAAGTGGTAGCATTTGAAGTCCATTCTAGAAGTGTGTATTTCTGTAATGCCTGAAATCACTTGGGAGAAAAAAAAAAAAAAAGAAAAAAGGAGCAGAATAGAGGAAAAATCACATCACTGAATTGGGTTGCTTTGGAAGGAGTTATGTATACGAGCTCATTTTAATTTTCACCATATGCCAGTATGCATGAAATATTTCTGTGATCTTGCACAGCATAGATGCCCCAGTTCCTAGGACACAGCAAAATTCTAGACAGCTTTAGGTTATGTGCTTGGGTTCTCGTCCTTTTAAACACTTCCACTTATTAACTAGAACATGCCAGCAATTCTGATTTAAGTAGACAAACTTAAGGTCACAAAATCACATTGTTATATGTAATATATATTCATGGGGAGGATAAAAAACATCTGTCTTATCTTGATATCTGCTCTTTACCAGGAAAGTAATAATATGGTAGTACCAGCCATGCAGCTTGCAAGCAAGATACCAGATATGTCTGTGCAGCTCTGGTCTTCAGCTCTGTTGAGAGGTAAGTTAGGAAAAGGTGTTGTATTTAAAGGAAGCAGCGAAGAGGCTGCTAGTAATAGCTGGGAACAAAAGAATCCATGGATTTATAAAATCCTGATGGATGTGCAGGGTGGTTCTTTGCATGTATTGATCTGCATCCGTGTCAGCATCGCGTTTTGGCTGCACCTCTAGCATCCCTCTCGGCTGCTGCAGTCACTTGGGGAGCTCTGTGCAGAGCTGCAGCATCCCTGGGGATCCCGGGATCCGCTGGTTCCTCCTGCCATGGCTGGGAGGCAGCCTGGAAACACGGGGCCTGGTCGGTCGCTGTTGGGAGAGGCTCCACGCGGAACCTCTTCTGTTGGGCTTTGCTTTACTACAGCAGGAGCTGCAGTCAAGCATTTGATTAAGTTTCAATTAGGCTTCACTTCTGTGTGTGAGCCTTAATAAATACCAAGACAACTATTATATCACATCGTACATAAATATTGTTTAATCTGACTTGCATAGGCCCCTGGATGCTTTGTTCAAATATTGACTAGCTTCTTGGCAGACAGTCAGCATTAATGCTGCGATTGATTTGCTTTCACTGGAAAATAAAGCTATAACTCTACGCTTTTTCCAAGAACTTACCCCGCAGCTTCAATTTATATTAAATTGTCATGTTTACTCTAAGCACTGCGCAGCTCATTGAGCGCTGTGGGCCGGGCTGACGCTCTCCTGCTTTGCTGCTGCCTTTGCAGCAGAGCAGCTTCCAGGCATCTCTGGAAATGCTTTTCTCATTCGTTTCCAAACGGTAGCTCACACACAAAACGTGCTGGTAGACAACGAGGAATCTGTTGTAGACAAAGTCCCGTCTTTGTTTGGCTGCTCTTGCGTGCTGTGGGATCCTGCGGTCCCCGAGAGCGAGAGGTGCCGTTTGCGCCCTGCTCCCAGTGCAGGAGATGCTCCTAGCTGCTCTTGAGGAGATGCTTCATGTGCAGCAACGGAGCAGCGGGTTGTGGGCTGCCCGGGATGGGGGCATCCAGSGGGGAAGCAGGGTCTTAAGGAAAGCAAACTATGGAGGATGCAAAAAGATTCTTTGGAATCAGCAGCTGCTTTGTGATGTTTCTTGTGAGGAAATCTSAAGCTTTCCTGGCAGGAGACAAGGTGCTGTGGCTCCATCATAGACCCGGAACGTTGGCCTGGGGCTCGGCCCCTGCTGCACTTTGCTGCTTAGAATATTTGATTGAAATTGTAATTACTTAATTACTTACTCTCATTGCTGATCCATCTAATACTTGTGAGTAAACCCCTGGGAGAACAAGGCACGAGGACCAGCATTCAGCTGACCTAAAGCGKCGGTTCCTGAAGCCCTGCGAAAGGCAGGACTCGCGGCCGGAGTGTTGCTCGACCTCTGGGAACGGCGGCCGCGTTGCAGCGAGAAGCCCTCGCGTTGCTCCCGTTCCCACTAGATGGGGCTGCAAACTAAAAACACCAACGAAATGCACAGGGGSTTGTCCGCAGCGGAGCGGGCTGCCACCTCCTGGCACCGCTGGGTTGGAAACTGGAATAAATCCTGCAGCGGGCACTGTCGGTGCTGTTGCCAAAGGGAAGGCTTTAGGGTCTCCGCGTGCCCCTCGTTTTTAAGAGGTTTTGGTTCTTGCAAAGTGGAGTGACTTCGGTGTGGTGGCTGTTCACGTGGCTGGGTAGTCACCAAATACACAGTGAAACTGTCTCTTCAGATAAACTAGCCTGTTAGCTGAAAGCAAATAGGTCGTTTCTTTACGAGCAGCCGATGTTGTCGTCCTTCAGATCTGAACAAAGCCTGTGGCAATGCAATGGATGCACACGAGGCGGCACAGATGCATCAAAACTTCTCACAACAGCTCCTCCAAGACCACATCGAAGCGTGCAGTCTTCCAGAGCACAATCTAATCACGGTAAGCAGGCTTCATCCTGCAGTTTTGCATCATTTTTGAGGTAGAATCATGGGCTTTGCTTCCCTTTACTATTATTTGAATCTGCTGTGCATGCTTCTCAGTGAGTTGCCAAAACTCAGTCTACTTCCTAGTATTTAAATTGCATTGGTAACAGGAAAAGGAAGTGTGACTCAGTTAATTAGTTAACTTTTATCCAGGTTATTTGCTGAGTAAGGTCTTTGATTCTTAAAAATATTTTCCTTTTTTTGGTACTCCAAAGTTTATTTTTTAATTTATTTTTTTTTTGTAGCAAGTAGCGAGTTCATTTAGGTGACAACTATGGCTTTTGAAAGTAAGAAGTTTTCCAGATACTTGAGTTGAATTTTCATTGTTAAGGCATCCAGTCTACTGTGTCCTGGGGAATGCTGCTATAAAAAGCAKTTCTCCTCTGTTGATGTATAAATCTCTTTGTATACCTCTGAATTTCCGGTTAAAATCCCATTTTATACCTGTATAACTGTTGTCCCTAAAACGGGGTCCACTCTCTTACTTCCCATTGTTGCTTTATGCCAACGAAGTTAAAAACAAGGATGGGCTGAGGCCTAAGAAACAAATATGAGAGGTGCCAATTTCAGAAGACTTTTGGCAAATGTGAAAGAAAAATATTTTAGTAACAGTTGAGGACCAGAGGCTGTACTTACTACGTGGAAAAGCTGTGGCTAGAGTGCATATTGGGCTCAAAAAGGCACATTTAAATTTTGGCCCTGTTTCCTAAAACCATTTGTGCAAGTCGTYGTTTCCCCTGTTTGGGGAAAGAGCCTTTTACCTGTGAGAACAGGCGGTGTTTTCACCTGGTTCCTATTCATCCCGGCTTCGGCCGCGTTTGGAATGCCGGGCACGCGGGGTAGCTGCAGCTTGAGCAAAACACGGCTCAAGGGGCGCGAACGCCTGAAACCGTCCGACCTGATCCTCRGCTTCCCGTGCCCAGATGTGTAATTATCCGCGAGCAGGAGGTGGCTGCGTGGGGAGCTGCTCCCCGGCCTCGCCGGGGCTCCGGCGCTGCCCGGCCCGCGCTGCTCACCTTGTTTGTTGTCTTTCAGTGGACAGATGGACCTCCTCCCGTCCAGTTCCAGGCACAGAACGGACCCACCACCAGCCTGGCCAGTCTCCTGTGAAACACCATGAGTGTCAGGACAGTGTGTTTAAAAAGACAAAAAATGCCGAAAAAAAGAAAAATTCATGCAAAATCTTTTCTTCAAAGAAAAGCCAGCATATTCCTCTTCTAGCGAGGGCCTCGTAGGAAACGGATTGTATAAAGAAAACGTACATTTCATAGACTTGCGAAGTGAGAAGGGCATTTTAAGCTGCTTTTACATAATGTGTGTGAATATACAGCTAGTGTGTATATACCTTCTGGTTTTAATCTGCTTTCCTCTTACTGAGAATTAAGGTTTAGTCCMAAGGACACTTGTTCCTTAAATGGGTTAGATACTTGCTTTTTAAAAATTGTCACCGAAAATGAAGAGGACTTTGGCATAGCAGCTGTGCTCTAGTATTTAAGCCTTTCCTGAAGAATGATGCATGCCATTTTTAATACTTTTCTGTGCCCTTCCACTCCAGGGAACAATTGGATTAAATCATGACTGACTGTAGGGTGCCTCAAAAAACCTCAAAATTTGTCTTCTGAGGTGACGTTGTTCCCGTCTCGTTGGCCACAAGTCCTTGCCAGCTGGTTGTGACGAGGGGCACGATGAGATGGGGAGCTGTGAGTTGTGGCACGGGACRCTGGCCGGCGTGGGGATGTGCTGGCTTCTTTGGGTTGTCTCCAGGTTGAGCAGCCCCGCACTGTTGGTAGAGGAGCAGGTCCCGTGTCCTGCCTTCACCCAGGMCCGTGGATCCCCGTGCGGCTCTTCCCACTGCCTCCAGGCCGTGGATCCCTGCGGATCCCTGCGTGGCTCTTCCCATTGCCTCCCTGCACTGGTGCCCGGGCCGAGGCAGAACCTCGGCTCTCGTCCCGTGCGATCCTGTGCCGCGGCTTGTGCCCGCGGAGGAGGCTCCTTGTCCTCCTGTCCGCTCCCAACGCGGGCCAAGGAGCAGGACAGCRTCGTCCCTGCAGCCTCGCCAGGGCAAGGCAGCGCTTGTGCCTTAAAGATTTCTACAGGTTATTGAAGCCGTGTTAAACTGTCAGCACAGATGGATACCGGCGAGAGCCTAGTGCTGATGAGCAAACGCAGTCCCGCATTTGGCAAAATCTTCCGTTTCAAAGCTTTGTGTTAGCTCTCTCGTTCTCTCRCTGTTTTTGAGTGCTCCAGCTGTAAAGTCTCCCTGCATTTGCCTCTGTGGCTGTCTCAAACAGCAGAGATGTGGCCCCAGTTTGTTCTGCAGGAAAGGGCATGGGCATTGCTAATTCCTTGCAGTGTCCCTGGCTATAGAGCCACTCCATTGCAGTGCCATGTAAAGCTTGCAAGGTTCGTGGGGTCAAATAAAGCTGGTTTTCTCTGTTGGTAGCTCTGCCTATTTATCTCCCAACTTAAAAGGGGGTGGGGAAAGGATTCTGTTAGAGGAAGTAGGACTTTCTGTAATTGCTTTTTTTTTTGAGAGAGAAAGAAAATATTTAAGAAGAAATATTTGATCCCTCAAGCCCTTAGAATTTATTCAAGACAGACTACTGTGAAATCTATCTTTAATGGCCGTTCTTTTTCCAGTCTTGTCCCTTCTCTAGCAAAAGGTCACATAGACGCTTGCTTTTTAGAATTCAAGCCCCTCAGTTTGAGCTATTGAATGATATTAAGGGGACAAGTACTGGTCCAAGTACCAAGCAGGATTTTACACTTCCTCTRCTGAGCAGGCAATGCTTGTTTAGCCCTTGTTCTCAGAAACTTAGAGAAGCCTTGTGAATTTTAGGCCTTGCAATCTCCAGCAGAGAAATTAGGTCGGTATAAGGAGACTTTTTCTACCTGAGTTTGCAAGAAACAAAGTTCAATGCGGTTTAAGATCCCGGGTGGTCCTTAGGAAGCCCAAGGATCAGGAAGAACCCAGTGAGGGCTGTTAGCTGCCAGGATTTATTTGGATAAAAAAGCTCCAGGGAGAATCCGCCCTTCCGACAGCCTCGTGCAGGCGGCTCCTGGTCCGTCTCACTTGCCAGTGTCATTCCGTGACATCAGGTGTTTCTGGCTGCCACCTGGCTCCGACATCTGTCCCGATGCAGCGATTGCTCCTTGCGCTGCGCCCTGCTGCAGGCACCTGAGCCGCGTACGCACAGCCATGGATTTGGATCGGGAACGGTGAGGGAAATCCCACCTCAGCAGCATTGATGCCCCAGGGGCTGCTTTTAATTCTGCCTGTTCTTTTCCAGCCCCTTTGGTGCAGGAAACCGCTTCTCTTTGGCTCTCTCCTCGAAGACWCTCAGTAGGTTGCTGAGTGGTTGCAAGGATTCGGCTCCTGTTTTAAGCATCTTCATATAATGGCCRTTTTCTTGGTGGTGCTTTCAGAAGGAACAGCTGGGCAATGTCTGGTACCTGAGAAGGATGGTACCAGTGTATTTCAAACCTTGCTGGAGTCCCCTTCTGAGAATCCAAGCACTTTTTTTTTTGTCTTTGTTCAATTTGAGTCTGTTTAGGTRTCTAAATGTCCATGGCAACTATAATAAATTAATTTAAATGTTAGCCAAAAAGCACTGCTTCTATAAGGCTTTCTTTTTCTTTAAGGTTAGAGCTGTGGTTTGGGCTTGCTTTAAGAAAGCCGTTTTGCAGCAAGCAAGATCTGCTGGTGCCCCTTCAGGTAGCTGCATCTCCCTGCCCTTTGCCTTCAGCTCCGGGATTTGCGGAGTTGCAGGAAAATGTGGGGTTTTTTTTCCTGTTTTCCTGGCTTCTCTCTGTCCAAACTGCACGAAACGGGGCTGCTTTGCAGCTCAGGTGCCTTGCCAGGCTGTTCCCGGAGGGAAGGAGGTGCTCAGGGAAAGGTTCCCTGCGTCTGATGCGCCTGTTCCCGGCTTCCTCATGGGAACCACTTGGCTSAATGTGGTGCCTGAGCTCGGAAAATCGGGAAGAGCAACCTGGAGATTCCCAGGCTCTGGGACGAGGCAGCTTCACCTCGAGCCTTTTTGGTTTTCTCTTGCATAGATGGCCCTTGGTCACACTGTTGAGTGGAGGCACCGATATCCCCCAGCCCCGAGGAGCCCACGCGTGTTCCCTGTGTCCTCTTGCCATTGCCCAGTTTCACAGATCATGTAAATTTGAAAATAACTTGCTGATTTTCTATCTCTAAAACTCCATGTACATTTGTTACAATGTACAGTGCTTTTTAACTACACTTGTATATTAAATTATTTAATAGTTTTTGCTTTTCGGTATCTTTTGTATGTAGCAGAGATTAAAACAAGGACCTCAGAACTGAAGTTCTTCCTAATTTTCGAATGCGTATGTAAAGTTGAAAAGAAAACTAGAAGTTTACMGTTTACAAACAATGTTCTGTTCAGTGCTTGGTCTGTCTAACTTGATTTGAACAACATATTTCTAAGCTTCCCTGTCCTGTCATTTAATTCTCTCTAGAAACAAACACGAAGTCTTTTATGAACTTCTAAAAAAAAATATTCTTCTAAAGATGTAATTTAGAAAACTGTACAGTTTTTTTCCTCTAGTATTTTTAAATGAGTAGCAAGAACTTAAACAGAAGCATCTAATCACTGTTTTGTAGATAGTGTAAAAACTTATGTATGTATAGAGAACACAGTCTGAAGAAGTTTGCCTGTTTTATTTCATTTCCTACAGCATGAACAKTGGGAGGGCCCACGTTCACAGGATACTGAGCTCAGTTTGGGGACGGGGGAATTAAAATCTTCATCCCCTGCCACCCCATACCTGCGGTCACTGTGAGGCCACGAGCAAAAGTCAACACTGGCAAAATATTAGGGCCTTAGGTTGTTACGCTGCCTACAGACGCGTGGAGTTTGGCACCATATATTCCCTGCTGTTTCACCGTGTTGGTTTTATTTGTTTTTTTCCCAAATTCTTTGCGTGGTTCAGCAGCGTCCCATTGTACCTTAGAGACTGTTGACATCTCCAAGTCACTCTGAACGAAGCTGTTAACGTCACCCATGGCCGTTATAGCCACAGTTACCAGAACTCGCGAGCGAGAAGGAAATCCAAGGGGTAGTTCAGGCTGCACAGAACTCTCGGTGGCCAGGCTGCTGTCTGTCTTAGCAAGCGTATTTAATTGTTTCCTGCGAYTGAACCTTAAATGTTATGTCAGGTTTGTACAATGTATTGTTGTTTGTAGTTCTCCATAATTAGCAGGCCGTGTACCTTCTGCCCGTGCTCCTTTCTGAAGCTGTAAATACAGCAACTCATGTAATGAGATGGAAATGGGGGCATTAGTTTGTTGCCTTCGTTTCCTCTCGTTTTCTATATTAGAAGAATTTCTAAATAAAGTTTAATTTTACTTCTAGCAGTTTGCAGAACGCCAGTTCCTTCGGCTGCTGTGCAGGCAGCGCTGCCTCCTCGGGGCTCTCTTTCATGTGGCGAGAGGCGCTCGCCCCGTTGCCCAGACCTGCGCTGGGAGCTCCTGAAGCATTCCAGGCTTTGGGAAAGAGGGCAGGAAGCTGCCCTTGCGAGTCGGGGCATGAGGAGCGGCCTCCCGAGGGGGCAGCGGGGGGATTTGGTGGCTGATGCATCCGCAGTTGCAGTCCCCTGTTTTGGAGCAAGAACTGGGAATTCCTCCTTGGAGCGTCCACCTCATTTCTCACCTTAGCGCACACTGCGTATCTCACAGGTATTTTTGATAGTGTTTAGCTTATTGCATTCAACCCCTTGGCAGGCTTCAGAATYAAAACAGACAACAGATCTTCCAGTGTCTGCTAAAACTACTGGAACTGCTGCCTTTTGCGCTACCACTTCAGTGAAACTTTGATAAACTGGGACAAGGAAATAAAATCTTCCCAAAGATCTGGAAGCAGATTTACCTAACTGCTGGGTAACGAAATGCACCTTGTGCTAAACTGGCTTTGAAGCTCTTCTGACAACAGCGCGAGTGAAGCTGAGAACCAAAATGCAGCCATTTGTGGGTGCACTGTGTAATTAAAGCATCACTTCAGAAGGATCTCTCCTCCTCAGTAGTTAACCATAAAGTTTTGAATGGCCTGAGGTGAAGCCGGTGGCTTTTTGWGCTCAGCGCATTAACCAGAATAACAACTAGTTATGAGAGAATTACCCTATTAACCCTTCATTGGCTGTAGCTGAAATCAGCTTGTACAAAGGGCAAAGGAAGGTGCTTAAAAAATACATTGTGGGGAAAAAGATGCGTTTAATTTTCAATCAAGGAATACACGGAGGAAAAGTTGAGAGCCTTGAACTTTTCCTGAGTGTTGGGCACTGTCCTGTCCAGCAGCGAGCGCTCCGSGTGGGACACGGAGAGACCTGGAGCCCAGCTCTGGTTCTGCTGCTCGTCCTGTGGAAGCCTTTGCACGACGCCTCCTGCTTTGGCTTCCCTGCCTCCGTTAAGGTGGGAAGTGCACCCGCTTCTGCATATTCCACATGAAAAGCACGAATGGGAAACAAACAAGCGCTGCCTCCGCTCTGCTCCTTCGAAAGGCGCAAAACAGCCCGCCAGGAAGGCGCATCTCGGGCTGCAACGAGCGGCGTCAGTCAGGCTGAAGATGGAGCTGAGCGAGGACGGGTGTCGGCGCCCCAAAGCAAAGCGCTGCCCCCGTCGCCTTCTSTCCGCCGGCCTCTCCTTCCCTGAGGATCTCTGTGGGAAGCGCCAGCCTGGCTGCAGGTGCCGGGGAGCCTCCGAGGAGCAGCGCTGGGCCCGGCCGGGCACCAACGCGGTGCGTTTTGGCAGCGCACTTCACTCACTTCTCCTCTTTTTTGGCTTTTTTGCTTTATTTTGCGCCGCGGCTGCTCCTACCTGCGCTGTAAGAGCCGCCCCCCGGGGGCGGGGGGGGCCGCGGCCGCCCGGGAGCCGCCATGGCGGCCCCGCTCCGCGCGGCGCCGGCCTCGCGCCGGGGAGGAAGCGAACGTGAGTCAGGGCCGGCCGCCGCCCCCGCCTCCTCGCCCCTTCCTCCGGGCCGGAGGAAGCGTCGCCGCCGGCCCCTATCGGGGCCCCCCAGGCCGGGCTGCGCGGGCGGATAAGGMCCGGGGGGGCGCGGCCGCTCCCCGCTCATCACCTCAGGCGGCCTCGGCGCGGCGCCCGCCCGCCCGCCGCCATGCCCGGGTCGCCGGGGGCGGGGAGCACCCGCTGGCCCCACCCCTTCCCTGTGCGCCCGCCGCACCCATTGGCTCCCGTTGCCACTCCGCGGCTCTGACTGGTGAGGCCGCCCGTCGCTCAAAAGCGAAACACCGCCCCTTTCGCCTTATCGCCCAGGGCGAGGGGCGGGGCGAATGCCGCTTCCGCCTCCCATTGGCTGTCGCGCCGGGCAGCCCCACATTGTCATTGGCTGCCCCCGGAGTCAAAAGAAGGGGGGCGGAGCGAGGCGGGCGGGGTCGCAGGCTTGTCCAAATCTGCCTAGCAACCGGGGTGGGCGGGAAAAGCGTCCCGAGGAGGTGACGGTTGGTGGCGCGCGCGCCACCCTGGGAGTCCCGCGGCGGCGCGCGGGGGGGCGGGGAGGAGGCGGAGGCGGAGGAGGGAGGGAGCGCGGCGCGAGGCGGGTCTCCCTGCGCGCGCAGCCCCCTCCTCCCTCCCTCCCTCCTCCCTCCTCCTGTCAGTGGCCACCTGAGGGAGCCGCCTCCCCTCCCCCCACGGCCCCAGTCCGGCCCGGGCCCCGCTGAGGAGGAGGAGGCGGCTCCGAGGGGGCTGAGGAGAGTGAGTGACACCGAGACCCCCAGCAGCCCGCGGGGAGCGGGGAGGGG